TTACAAATTAAAAAAAATATTTACTGACGATAGACTTTAATTGTTAAATCAATGTTTTTAACTAAAAATGTTAGGGCACCGAAACAATTTCCAAAATAAAACAAAGATTAACTGACAATAGACTGAAGCATTGAATACAAGTTTTCATTCAAAATGTTCGGGCACCGAAACAATTTCCAAAATAAAAAAAAGATTTACTGACGATGGGCCTTAAGTGTTGAATCAATGTTTTAACTAAAAATGTTAGGGCACCGAACAATTTCCAAATTAAAACAAAGATTTACTGGACAAATAGAGTCGAAGCATTAAATACAAGTTTTTCATTCAAAATGTTCGGGCACCGAACAATTTCCAAAATAAAAAAAAAGATTTACCGACGATGGGCTTTAGTGTTGAAATCAATGTTTTTAACTAAAAATGTTAGGCACCGAACAATTTCCCAAAGAAAACAAATTAACTGACAATAGACCAAAGCATTAAATACAAGTTTTCATTTAAAATGTTCGGCACCGAACAATTTCCAAAATAAAAAAAAAGATTTACTGACATGGGCTTAATGTTTGAATCAATGTTTTAACTAAAAATTTTAGGGCACCGAACAATTTCCAAATGAAACAAACAATTTAACTGACAATAAGACGCAAATGCATTTTAAAAATTGTTAGGGCACCGAATTCATTTTTGCAAAAATTAATAAAAAAAATGACTTTGAAAAAAATAATTTTTCAGCACTTTTTTGCCAAATTTTATTAAGGAGGAAAAACAACAAAAAAGAAAATGAATTTTATTATTGACTAGACAAAAGCATTAAATTTAGTGATTTAATTCAAAATGTTTGGACTAAAAACAATTTCCCAAAATTTTTTAAAAAAAAAGATTCACTGGACAATAAATTGAAGGCATTAAATTTACAAGTTTTCAATTCAAGAATGTTACAAGGCACAGAAATTTTGCAAATTAAAAAAAAAAAGGATTTACTGGACAAATAGATAGAAGCATTAAATTTACAAGTTTTCCAGCAAAGTTTGTTTGTTCAATTTTGGAAAAAAATCCATTAAAAAATAACACAGTTTTAACCCCCTTTTAGAAAAATCAACCCCAAAATTTCAAAACTTTTTAAAACCTTTTTGAAGATAAAAAGGTCATTTTTAATTTTGGTAAAGGTTTTAATCTAGTCTCTTAAAGGGTCTTTGTCCAAGTTGTTTAGGGCCCCAATGAAGGACAAAAACCAATAGCTCATAAAGTTTATAAAATTTTAAAGTTTGCAGACCAGAAAATGGAAAAGCTGCCATTGACTGTAAAATCCCTCTTTTTTTTTTCTTCGAAAAAATGCCAAACCCAAAAAATGGGGAAAATACAACAAATTTGACATTCAATTTTAAAAGATTTTAAATAAAGGAAAATTTAAATTTTAAATTGGGCAAATTTGACCCAAAAAATCAATCACTAAAAAAAACTTTTTGGGGGCCCCTTTTCTATCATATGAAAAAAAAAAATTGATTAAATGTTTTGGGAAAACTACATTTACTGCAATAAAATTACATCTTCTATTTATTTTTCCCTTAAATAGTCCAATAGGAAACCCAGGCAGACAAAAACAGCCCAATTGACTCAAAGTATTTTCCCACTTATCACTGTGGGGTTGTGTGGGGTTTTATAAAAATGGGAATATATAGAACAAGCTGCTTCCAAAATGTTATATCAAAAATTTTTGTTTTTTTAAATTAAAAAAAGTAATTTGCTTGTATTTTTTTTTACACTAAAATTGCACCCTGTGCAAATTTTAAAAAATTTCACTTCTCAACATCTCTTTACAGTTTAAAAACAGGTACTGTAAATTAAAAAAAATTTTTAAACCCAAAAATCAAAAGTTTAAAATAGAATTTTTCCTTTTTTTAATTTTCCAAATTTAAATGTTTCGGGGCCAGCCCTGAGTAATTTTCAACAGCAGAATCTGGAAAAAAAATAAGGAAATTCATTCAATTTTTTTCATTTCTTTATTTGTTTGTTATCTATCACTTCAACATAATAATCTTTTCAAATTCTGGTATTAATGTAAGATACAAGTGAAATGCCTTTAAAAAAGAACAGATAAAATTACATGTATAAAAGGGCAAACTAGAAAACTTTCAGATGTTATAATAATTAGTCCCCAAATTTGTTGCACAAATTATTGTTTTCATTTTAAGTTTTCAAAAAAAAAAAAAACCCCTTAAAACTATTCAAATTTAACACAAACAAACCAATTTTTAACAAAGTTTCAAGGCACTGAAAAACTATTAGTGTTAACCTTTTGTAAAATCATATTGCATATTTGTAGCCAAAAATAATGGCTTCAATACATTTTACAAAAGTTATGAAAGTGCTGAAACATTCAAAAAAAATTAACTTTGTCCAAAAATCATGGAACCATGATGACCAAATTCAAACTTTAAACTGTTATATTCCTAAGATGTATCTATATGTCAAATTTTGAGCTGAATGTGAGAAAAAATGAACGGAAACTTAAAATTTCTGATTTTTTTTTTAAAAATTCCCAAGAGGGATAACTCTGTCAGCTATCATCAAGCCATGACAAAATTCGAAAAATGACCAATGTATTCTTATGACATATCCATATCTTTAATTTGAGTTGAATAAATTGTATAACTGTTGGGGAGATAATGAATGGGAACTGAAAATTTCCTTTTTTTTTTAAAGTTAAAGGGACATAACTCTGCCAAAAAATCATCGAAACCATGACCAAATTCGAAACTTGACCTGTGCATTTCTTTTGACGTATCCATATGTCAAATTTAAGTTGAATGTGTAATACTGTTGGGGAAATAATGAACAGAAACTGAAAATTTGCATATTATTTTCAAAGTAAAAGGGGCGCATCATCGAACCATGACAGAAAATTAAACTTGACCTGAATTTTCTCATTATGACATATCCATATGTCAAGTTTGAGTTGAATGTGTAATACCGCGTGGGTAGATAATGGAAAGGAAACTGAAAAATTTCATATTATTTTCAAAGTAAAAGGGGCATAACTCTGCCAAAAATTAACGAACAATGATTAAATTCAAACTTGACCTGTAATTTCTCATGACATATCCATATGTCATATTTGAGTTGAATGTGTAATACCGTTGGGGAAAATATGGCAGGGGCATAAAAAAACAACTTGTTTCTGGTCACAGTCCCCTAAATGAACAGAGTCAGTAGGTAGGGTTTTTCTGGGGGTTGACAGTTAAAACCGATAACATATATGCAAAGTGCTGCATTAAATATAAATAAATCCCATGTCATTATGACAAATCGGTAAGGGGTAAAATATACAGTCAGTAAGGCGAACCAGAAAACAAGAATTTTTTTTTTTGCCTAAGCAAACTTGAACTATCACAAAATGGGATTAATACCCCCGCAAGACTGCTTCGGAAATGAGGAAGTTATAGTAAACAGAATACCTTGTAAAAGAATTTGAAATAGAGTTATGGTTGTGGGCAATTAAAGATAGTTGTGGTTTTTTGAATGTGGCATTTCCTCACAATAGACCCTTTCATTTAAGACCGTATTCAAGTTGTCGCCCTTAGTGGATGACGTCATTGGGGGATACGGTGGACAATGCCAATACGATTAAGTACAATAATAGAGGGATATAAAGATCTTAATCCTTTCTCTTGTAAGATTGAAATTGCCAAAATTCTGTGTAATTGAATAAGATTTTACATAAAAAGGATGGTGCAATGAATAAAAATGTTTACTATAATAAGGGTAACGATTTGTTTTAATAGTAGACTATATTGCTGGGCGCAACTGATCATGATTACCATTTTCATTCAGGTAGTTTCAAAAAACGGCTGCGTAATAATTAATTGCAAGATACTGGTTTATTTAAAATCATTTTGATTTAAGCATTACTAAGACAAGAGAAAACAACAATATAAAATCTATGTATTTTCAAAACAAGAGGGCCATGATGGCCCTGAGGTCGCTCACCTGTATATAGCCCCCCCCCCCCCCCAAACCCATAAGAAGATGTTTCATGCTAAAACATCAAAGCTCTAGCTCATTGGGCTTTTTAAGAAGATTTTTTTAAGTTTATACTATACACATATATTTAAAAACAATGACACCCCTGGGGCGGGGCGGGGCCAGTTTTGACCCCCAAGGCTTTTATTTGAACAAACTTTGTAGACACTTACTAGAAGATGTTTCATGCTTAATATCTAAACTCTAGCTATTTGGGTTTTTTCAAAGAAGATTTTAAGTTTTTGCTATACACATAATTATAAGGAAAATCAATGACCCCCAGGGCGGGGCCAATTATGACCCCAGGGCTTTTATTTGAACAAACTTGGTAGACACTCACTAGAAGATGTTTCATGCTTAATATCTAAACTATAGCTATTTGGGTTTTTTCAAAGAAGATTTTTTAAGTTTTTGCTATACACATACAAGGAAAATCAATGACCCCCGGGGCGGGGCCAATTTTGACCCCAGGGCTTTTATTTGAACAAACTTGGTAGACACCTATTAGAACATGTTTGATGCTAAATATCTTAGCTCTAGCTCTTTGAGTTCTTTAAAAGAAGATTTTTTAAGTTTTTTACTATATGCATATAGTTTAAAAACAATGACACCCCTGGGGTGGGGCCAGTTTTGACCCCAGGGCTTTTAATTGAACAAACTTGGTAGACACATATTAGAAACATGTTTGATGCTAAATATCTTAGCTCTAGCTCTTTGAGTTCTTTAAAAGAAGATTTTTAAGTTTTTACTATATGCATATTGGGAAAATCAATGACCCCCTGGGGCGGGGCCAATTTTGACCCCAGGGCTTTTATTTGAACAAACTTGATAGACACTCACTAGAAGATGTTTCATGCCAAATATCTAAGCTCTAGCTCTTCGGTTTTTTTTAAAAGAAGATATTTAAAGTTTTATCTTTTGCCATTTAACTTATTTATTATGAAATTCTTTCATGCATGCAGTAGTTAGCACAAGCACCCATTTTTTAGCCAGTTTTAAACATTCTTTGTGAAGTTACTTACATTTTTTTTTTTTGCATGGCCTCTGTTTATTATCACCAGTCTTCTCTTACCACATTCCCCTTGCTCACATGCAGTTTTCTGGCTAAGATTATAGACCCTGAAATGTTTAAGCAAAAGCATTACCATTTCTAGTCTAAAAGCCATTATACTAAAACAAGATCCCACTAACTAATTTAGTTATGTTGTTAAAAATAATAGAAAATTAATAAAGTAAAAACAAGCAATTATAATGTTATTGCAAGCAATCCATTATAAAAGTCCCCTATTGGTTAGAACCCCAGCAACATTATGATGGGTCATTGGCCATTCAATTATGCCCCTGAATGAATGAATGATATAAATGAACTTAAATCTTTTGAGTTCTTAGTTTGTCTAGTTATATCTTAAGTAATGTGTTAGTTTTCCAGACTGCCTTATAAGGAAATCTGCGGAGAAATATGAAAGTTAAGGAATGAATAAGAAAAATTCAATGTTTAAGGAGATTATTCTGGAAATATGTATGCTAGATTTATAACCCTTGTCATAAGATGTGGGAGTTTGAAGTAAATGCTATAAGGAATAAAAAAATTTAAGTAAAAAATAATAATTTCTAGAAAAAAATCTAAGTGGGACATAATACTGGAAATAGTCAAGCTAGAGTATTGAACCTTCTCACACATAATTTGAGTGATAATAAGAAACATATGTATGACGTTTGAAGTAGAAACATAAATATACATGTATAAAGAAGTTATAAAAAACATCATTTTTTCATGAACATTCTAAGGTCAAGGGGGGTTACATTCTGACATTTTTTGTGCTAAAGTTGTCAACCTTGTAATTAAAAGTAATTGCATTTTATAGTCTAAGTTTCATGCTTACGCATGTTCACCGACTTTACAGCTATTACCCCTGGTCATCGGGCTACTGGTATCTTTCTATCAATCTCCCTGGGGAGTCTTTTAACTCAGCTTAGTGCAGCCGACACTTTGGCGCAACGGATTTATACCACCCTCGCAGGTACCCATTTACACCTGGGTGAAGTGAAGCAATCGCAGGTAAATTTCTTGCTCAAGGAAATTAGCAGTGCCCCTAGTGGGGTTCGAGCCCGGGACCTCTCGATCCCTAAGCGCGAGTCCTACCACTGGACTACTGCTCCTACTTGTCACATATGATGAGGTTGATGATCAGAAACATATATTTGAAGTTTGGAGTATTAATACCTTACGAAATAAAGAACTTATACTGAAAAAGCGTAAAGACTTGAATAGGAGAAATCTTGACAGCTCTCAATTAATTCTCCCTTAAATAATAGTCAAGATTACAAGAGCTGTCGGTAGGACAGCAACGCTCGACTATTCTTAGTGCTTGATAGTAAAAAAAATGCTTGATACAGTTACCTCCTCCTGTTTACAGGTTGGGGTAATGATGGTAAACAAGTGTGCAAAGTTTCAAAGCCATATGTCAATGAACTTTGAAAATATTTGAGGTATTACAAAAACTTTAACATAAATTCTAAGTCGAAAAAGGAGCATAATTCTGTCAAAATGCTTGATAGAGTTACCTCCTCCTGTCTACAAGTTGGGGTCATGATGGTGAACAAGTGTGCAAAGTTTCAAAGCCATATGTCAATGGACTTTGAAAATATTTGAACTATTACAAAAACTTTAACGTAAATTCTAAGTCGAAAAAGGGGCATAATCTGTCAAAATGCTTGATAGAGTTACCTCCTCCTGTCTACAGGTTGGGGTCATGATGCTGAACAAGTGTGCAAAGTTTCAAAGCCGTATGTCAATGGACTTTGAAAATATTTGAACTATTACAAAAACTTTAACGTAAATTCTAAGTCGAAAAAGGGGCATAATTCTGTCAAAATGCTTGATACAGTTACCTCCTCCTGTTTACAGGTTGGGGTAATGATGGTGAACAAGTGTGCAAAGTTTCAAAGCCATATGTCAATGGACTTTGAAAATATTTAAACTATTACAAAAACTTTAACATAAGTGGTTACGCCGACGCCGACGCTCGGGGTACTACAATAGCTCTACTTATTCTTATCGAATAGTCGAGCTAAAAATGATGTGTATAATCTCCATACTGCTATCTATCCATATTTTAAGTTTCATAATATGTTTTCATTTCAGGTGGCACGATAGCTCAGTTGGTTAGACCACTGACTGTCACTCCTGAGGTTCCAGGTTCGATCCTGGGTAACACCCTTGGGATTTTTCAGAAACACTTTCAGTGTTTCCCACCTACCTAGAGGTTTACGTTAAAGAAGCCCAGTTTATCCTTGCACATATCAGTGCTATACACTGGGCATGTAAAAGAAACAAGGAATCTATTCAATAAGAGCTAGGGACTGGTTCTTGGACTCACTTGTATCTCATAGCTGTCTCTATAGTCTGGTGAGGTAAGGACCCTACTGGAAATAGTGCTTACACTTTCGTAGGTTATCCTTGATCGCACAGTCTAAAGAAAATCAATCAATCAGCACTTTTTGAGTATCACAATTTTTGTTAAATTTGCCATATTATAAGCCTATTTGTTGCCATAGTAACTAAATTTTTCAACATAGGAAGAACAGAAGACGTGCATAATTTCCATACTACCATCTACCCATAATTCAATGTTCATAAAAATACTTTCAGTACTTTTGGCATTATCACTGGATCCAATTTATGTTTTAAATTAGTTATATTTTCAGACTATTTGTTGCCATAGCAACCAAATTTTTCAACATAGGAAAAAATAGAAAAAGACATGCAATTAATTATCTTCAGACTGCCATCTTACCCTATATCAAGTTTCATAAAAATATTTTCAATACTTTTTGTGTTACTCAGTATTCAGTTTTGTGAACGGACTGCAGACGGATGGACAGACAGACAGACGGAGGGAGAGTAAACCTCAAGTCCCCTCTAGTTAAACTGGTAGGGGACTAACAAATGATTAGTAAAGTTGCTTAAAGGGTACTATTAGCTTTGGATTGTTTGGGTAACCTTATAACACCTCATTACTGCATGGTCATGCTGTGTTGTAATTTACTCTGAGTTGACCATCAAAGCACTTTAACCTTAATAATTACCTGTGGATTGAAAATTGATTCATTAGTTGAATCAAAAATCAAACATTAAGGAATTGTTACTTTAATAACAAGGAGCTACATGAAAGAGATCATTTCTAGTTTAGATGCTACAGTAAAACCTTAAATGAGCTGTGTCATGACAAAACCAACATAATGGGTTTGCGACCAGCATGGATCCAGACCAGCCTGCGCATCCGCGCAGTATGATCAGTGCCCGTGCTGCACAGTAAATGGGCCAATTTTGTTAGCATCTAAGTCAAAAAATAAATTTAAACATACAAGACAATATTTGCTCTTGTTAAGTACCTTAGGGTGTCTATAACAATATTTTTGGAAAGAAAGGATAACTTTTAGGATACCTTTTTCAAAATATTACATCTCTTGCGGGCTGTGTGGGTAGGGGACGGATGTTACAAAGATATACTAAAAGTCTGAATATCTTACAGTTTATAATAAAAATTGTATTATTTCTCTTTATTTTATTAAAATATTATGTGTTCTGATTAATGTTACAAAAAAAATCCAGAAAATTCATCTAAGATATAAAAATATTTGCTTTCAAATTTTGAGTATTTTTCACACAAAATGAAATTTTCAAACATGTTAGAAACAGAGAGAAATAAAACAAGGATAGGTACACCAAATCATACTTAAATCAAATATGCAAACACATCCTTATAAAACAGTAGAAATTATAGGACTTTCTTATGTATATTTCTTGTCAGATAATCCAAAAATGAATTGTATTAGGGGGACGGATGTTACATTTTTGGGGGGACGGATGTTTACTAGATGTTTCAAGCTCATAGTTCATACTCTTTTTTGGTTTTATTTTAATGTAATATAATTTATAAAAGTATATGCTTTGTACAGTTACTAAATAAAGGTAACTATTGATACATAATTATAAATGAAAAAAACAAAAGTTCATTATTCATCAATTTTTAGGGAGTGTAATAATACATTATTCATCAATTTTTATGGAGCGTAATAATACATTAGAAACCTATGAAACAAGGGGATTTTGTCCGGGTAGTGAAGGGGATTTTGTCCAGCCTTGCAAAAACATGAAGGGGATTATGTCCACCCATGAAGGGGATTTTGTCCGGGTATGCAAAGGGGATTTTGTCCGAAGGAGATTATGTCTGACATTCGCTTGAACCATCTTTAAGTACCAAAAAAATTAGGGAATATTTTGTGTGAAACAGTGTTTAAGAATTTCAATATTGACACCAGTAACTTGAGTAAGAGTATTAGGTTTCCTTGCATTATTTTCCTCACTGCCAACTCTTGTTGATGATCAGTTCATGAACTCTCTGGTTTTACACTATGTTGATTAATTAATTAATACATTAACTGTAACTGAAAAGCAAATTTTACACTAAAGCACCAAAGTTACAATGAAAAATGAAGAAGTAACAGGAATAAAGCACTGAAATGATGTATTTATAAAAAAAAGTATTTGTGAACACTAAATTCCTTAATTTTGAAAAAAAAATCAGTATTTTTTGCTCTGAAAACAAAATTATTTACTTTGAAATAAAATTTATATTTTAATTTTTAACATCAAGTGGACCTATGAGTTTATTAAGATGATATTTAAGCTTATATGAATTTATAACAAATATAATCTTTTGTTATTCTGTGTTTATAAACTAAGGGTACAGAAGGGGACGGATGTTACAGAATTGAACTAAAAATTCTTTTTACAGTAGTACGAAACTTATCTTGTTCTTATGATGCATGATAGAGAAGTAGTAAGCTTTGCAACTGTATAGGAATGTTTCACACAACAAATAAAATACCATTTAAAAAAAATAGAAGAAACAAACACAAAATCCATAACAGGATAATTATATAGAAAGAGGTGCAAATGATAGAGATGTTAAAAGTATCTTTGTGATTAAAATTGGTCAATTGTTAAAACATAAATTCTTTAGCCTTAAATAGTTAACAAACCAACAAACCATGTATCCCAGCCCCTCATAAAACAGTGGGATATGGATCCTAACTCTATACACACAGAAGGGGCTGGCACTTTATTGGAAGTTTATGAGCTGACTATATTGGGAGCTGCGTAGATTGTATAATTGGAAGTGTGATAAATTAGAAGTTTTCATTAAAATTATGGTAAATTATCAACTGCATAACACATATTTGATTAGGCAATTTCTTTAATTGTTTTGAATTGATTAGTATGAAAACATTTTTATTAGCCAATAATTGTTTCATTGATTGTATAAGTTGATAATTCTAATTGATATATATTATCCATTGTTACAATTTCTATTGATGAAAGAGTGATAATTTAATCAAACCAAGATCACTGCAATACTTGATTGATTATGAATGCTTTAACAAAGCAATTTTAATGTGATCAAAATGTGCTAATTGAATGTGCTTTTCTGCTGAAATATTTTCTACTTATTTATACATTAGGATATTTACCACACAGCATAATGCAGTATGTCGCTCTCATACCCACTTTATAACTTTATAAACACTTTATAAACACTTTTAAAGAAAATTCATCCGATGGGGGATTTTGTCCTAGGTAGCAATTTTATGAAGGGGATTTTGTCCACTTCAAAATTTCACACATGAAGGGGATTATGTCCACCCATGGAGGGGATTATGTCCAGATATACAAAAATACATGAAGGGGATTTTGTCCGAAGGGGATTATGTCCGTACACCAGTTCAAGCAAATTGCTTTAAAAAATTATACATACCTTGGAAACTCTATTTCATGTGAGTCCCATCCATAAAATCTCTTCAATTATTGATCTTTACTGACATATTTTTTGTATTTCAGTCTGAATCCCTGTTTTGAAGTCATAGCTGTCTGTCACTGAAGTATTTACTGTGATAAGACTATAAGACATTTGAGCCACTACATCTTTCTGAAAAATTAAGGCCAGAATTAACTTAGATCTATATCTAAATCAAAGTATTAAAAAAAGAACAATATTACAAAAAAATGGATTCGTTTTAATTTAAATATTTTGATATTAGATCTATATTGCAATTTTTCTTTAGGGATTCTTATTTCACTCTATTTCATGAATAACAAGATTAACACGCATTCTCAATACCATTTACAAATATTGAATCACGGAAAGTGAAAAAAATAATGTTCAGAGATCATAAAAAAAATGTTTGAATATGACAAAAGAATATCTCCCGGACATAAATTTGAATTCTTGCAAACAAGATACGAACCATGTTCTCTCAGTTCCATATCAAATGGAGCAGGTCATTCTTATAAAAACAGGCACAGAAATGTACGTTACTTTGAGTATCCCTTAAATTAGCAGCTCATAATCATGTAACTGTTGAACTAGTCAGTAATTTTGTTTTCACAATTCCCTTCTCAAAAGATGTAGGATGGAAATAAACACATTTTTTGTTAAATTATACCAATATATTCAGGTTTTTGGAATGTTAAAACAATAACAAATTTTACAGATGAATGATACATATTTTACTATTTCAATGCATACTTCGAAGTTCTTTACAGATTTATCAATGAAAAGCAGTTCGACATTAGAATGCTATTGATTATTTATGATACATATAAACTCCTCGTTGTAAACTAATTCATGCATGTAGCAGTTGTTTTTTTCACCCCAAATGCCTTAAAAGTAATGTAATAATTTTGTAACGTACATTTCAGTTTAATACAAAAAAATATCAACAGTGAATTCATTAAGAAAATCTGACAGGAATGGGAAAACTTAAATATTTCTGTTTGGTATTTATTCCTTTTCTAAACATTTGAACAATTAACTACAAAAATCATACGCTTGGTCAGAATAAGATATTGTATATGCATACAGAAATAAGATGTATTTTAATTGATGATTCTGTTCATATAAGGTAAAAAGTACATGTAAACAACATTATATGTGCATATTTAACCATTTATGACAACATACATGTGTGATAAAATGCTTTAAAATATCTTTAGCATTTTTGAAGACTTTCTTAAAGACTTTATTAAATACTCTTGTAAACTCTCATTGGTAACGTACATTTCAGTTTTCTGGCATGGGTTCTGTACATAAAAAGACACCAATTAATATTTAACATTATAAACAAAATGTTTCCTTTTTTATATTTTTAATTTAAAACAACAAACATTTTTACTTTATAAAATAATTTAAAAACACATGTGATCATCCTTATATGCTACGTTATTTATTGTTATGAGGATAATTTTACAGCAATGTCCAGAAATGTTTTGAGCCCCATTATGGTGTAATTGATAAAATTTGTTGAATTTTTATGTAAAAAAAAAAAAAACATGTTTTAATATCGCAAACTTCAATTTTATGTGCAACTTTGCAAGTAACATACATTTGAAGATGATTCGTCGAAAGCCCTGTTAATATCTTTCATTAGAAATTCGCATGTTTTAAGACATTATGATTACCAAAATCACATTTGTGAAATGCATGTAAAAATAAATGCTTTAGAAGTGTGACACATTAACTTGATTATTTTGTTGCTTTACAATATATTCCAGTGTTTTGTACACAATAAGGTAAATTCTGGAAAAAAATCATTTACTTTATACGAAACATTGCTTATATGAAACATTGTTTGCTTTTATTTTATAAAACATTGTTTCTTTCATTTCTCGCTTTGTTAGTCAAATATTTCAGATTCTGTAATACGTAATTCTACAATAACGCTCTTTCCAAAGTTAACTTTCGGTATCTTTCAGCTCTTGTTCTCTACCTGTAGCCTTTTTGAATCTCAGCCCTTAATTTCGGTCTCTGAAATGTACGTTACTACAATTGAAATGTACGTTACTTGTTGTTGATGTTAATGTAAGTGAGAAATCATTGTTTTGTAGACCTTTATAGTTCATACACAATGCACATTTGAGTGTGCAGATGCTAGAGAAAAGATTAAAAATGTTCAATATCATCACAACTGTTCAACTTAAACAATCACATATTGTACTAGTCCCAACTTTTGTAGATAGAAAAAAATGCCTGAATAAAATTCATATGCAACTGATGCAAATACAGTTATATTTAATTTGTTTTCGTTTCTAATCATCCTATTCTTACTTGTTATTACATGAAAAACATATTCATGAAGTAACTTTTAAGAATTCGGGAGATACTCTTCATTGAAATTACTAATACTAGTTTTGAAATGTACGTTACCAACAGTAACGTACATTTCATGGTACTTTTAAGCAGAAATATACTTTCCACTACTACCTTTTGTTTACATTGCGAAAAAACATGCTATCACATCTCAAAATCCAGCAGAATGTTTTCAGTAGATATATGTTTATATACATAAAATGTTTTCTAATATATATTGTGATATCGTATATCAAACATGAATTTACCTTAAATTATATCCACAGTGACACAATGCAATATTTATTTACGCTTTGATGTTACAAAACTCTTCTCTCCATATAAATTTTCTTACCTAAGGTATCATATTTTAAGTGTAGTGAATATTTTTTAAATTGCGGTAACGTTCGTTTCGGTAACGTACATTTCTGACCACTTTTCAATGCAGATCTGGACACAGTCTTGAGCAATTATAACAATTTCTCAACACATAACTTCTTATTGAGGGAAGCTTTAACTGCTTGACACAAGTCTACCTCTTTACATTTTCATCAGTTCCTGTAGCATCAGTAACGTACGTTTCGCGGCAAAAATTACGTTTTAATTTTCTCAGAAAATCATCCATCAATTACGGCATCTTTATATACCACTTTTATAATACATTATTTTGGCCAATATGGCCAATTATCTGCCAAAAAACTTCAAACTTTGAAAGATCTTATTATTTAAAAAATATTTTCTTCACTGTTTAAAAACGCACACTCAAAAAGGCATGTATCAGTGGAAAGGAAGAAACTATAATTTTGTTTACATTTTTATAAAAGTTTTCAGTATGTTCCACTGTTAAATTCACGCTAAGGCATTGTGAGATACAAAAAACACCAAACAATTGTTTTATAAAAGACCAATTGAAACATGAAAAGATTTAAAGTTCATTTTTCATATAGAGACAGTCACGTACGTTTCATTTTTTACTATTGTGCGATAAATATTTTTTCAAATCATGACAGTTGACCACTTTTTTGTTTTGATTTAATTAAAACGGAACATGTTTGATGGAACAGATGCTTTAGATAAAATATATAGCACATAATAAGACGAATATGCGGCGTGGAAAGCGTTTTTATCTATTCTGTAAATGATATTGAGAATGCGTGTAAACATATTTTAGGTAAAATCAATTGGAAAACTCTACAATTCTATCTATAAAAAAATCTACTTGTAAATAAATGACAAAATTAAAAAATTTATCAGAATCTAGATCTATATATATGTACAGTAGTTAGTAAATTTACTCACCTAGTCTTTAAGAAACAACCCGCAAGTCTACAGCACCTCTTGAAGATCACATTAATTTACCCGTTTAAACGTCAGCTTTGCGTGTCTTTAAACTACACAGGCACACGCTCGTAGTTCAAAGAGTTTCAGCGGCAACGGACAAATCTTTACGCTTACACGGGGTACTCCGTATGCAAGACACAATTTTCGTGACAGCATTTTCGTTTATCTGTGACTTAAAATAACTTTTGTCCCAGGTTTTATAGAATAATTAAATTATCCTTTTCATCAATTATGAATAATTGAAATGTTGATTCATCAGAAATATCATTAAAACGTTTACACACTGTCATCGGACTGGACACCCCTTCAATGGCGTGAAAATGAAGTCGTCCAATTTTGCGTCATCAACTGCGTTGACCCCGTTGTGTGATTACCTCTGTGTATTCGGTCATCAAAAAAGATTATGTGTCGGAGAAAACAAACTTCAAAAGGGATATTTGTGATGTGGAAGGGGAAATGAACGAACACGGATACATTTTGTAGCTTTTGGTGAGTTTTTTTTGTTAGAATCTAGTCTACTGTAACTAAGAAAAATCAGGCTGGAATTGAAGAACTTTTAATACTTTATTGAAACTGGTTCTTGAAAATTTTCTAACTTTGAAATATCTGGGTAGATTTTGCTTATATTTCTCCAAGTCAGTAAAATCTGTGTCAAAATATTTTCAAAGTGCAAATATTCCTGCCTCCACCCCGTCTTTTACCAAAATGAAGACGATGTCAGGGTAGAAAAAACTTGAATTACCATGTGAGATTTCTTGAAAATTCAGGGTCCATGTCTATTTCACCCTGATTTTGCCAATTCTGGTTCAAAACAGGCCTGAATCGGTCCTGTTTTTCATAAAAGCCATGCTGATTTTTCGTATAGGTAGTGACTGTCCGCCCTGTCCCAAAATATGGTCCGCCTAGTCTCGAGTCACGGTCCGCCCTGTCTCACGGTCTGCCCTGTCCTGCAGGCCCGCCGCCACCCCCCTAGCCCAACAAATTGTGCGCTTTAGGGCTTTTTCTTATATAGATGATGGTCGCCCTTGACACATCTATGAAATTTCAGATTATAAAATCGGTCTGTCTTGCAGTCGAAATATTGAGACTACCCCCCCCCCCCCATCCTTCCCTACCATTTAAACATTTCTATATAGCCTAGCTATTCATAACAACAACAACATGACACTATTACACAATTTTTAAGTACACCAGTTCTATCTACATTTCAATAGAGGTATAATGAAAGTTGCCTAGTAGAATCTAGTGTCAGTTTATTGATACTAGATTCTAAATGGCATTGCGGAAATTGACTTTTATTTATATTCTTGGGGTTATAACAATCACTGGAGAGATGGGGGTAGCGGTAGGGGATAATATCAGGTCACCCATGTAATGTTCACTAAGAAAAGATCAGGATCAATTGATCCTGATTTTATTTTCATTGTTTTATAAAACAAAAATTAATAGTATTGATGCTAGAATGAAATGGTATGCCATGCTTATTCAAAATGTAAATTTTTGCTGATTTGCAAAGAAACAAACCTATTTTGGCATAAAATGAACAAATAACAAATCAAAATCAGAAATAATCAGATCAAAATAACCTGTACGAAAATGCCTACCCTGACTACACCCTGATTTGACATGGGATAAGACATTTATTTCCAGCCAGGTTTTTTAAGCTATTCAGTTGACTATAGAGAAGACAGAAATCTATTTTTAGATTTTTTAGTATACAATATATAGTGTTTTCAGGGTGGATTCAACGAAATATTTAAATGAGCCAGAAAAAATACCACCCAGAAATGGAAATCCAGGGCAGAATTTTCTCTCACACAGATTTCTAAAAATAGATTTACTTCTAGTTAAATTGAGAGCAATTTCAGGGTGGGATAAATTTGAAATATTTAAATGAGCCATAATTCACCCTGATTTCTGTTTAAAAAGTCAGGCCAGACTTTTTTCCTCCTGTTATTATCCCGCTCTAAAATTTTGCAAATCCCACCCTGAAATTAAACTAAAAATCCACCTAGATTCCTGATCATTTTAGAACCAGCCCAAGAAAATATTCTTAAATACATTGCATCATATAATGAGCATTATGTATTTTAGAATAATAGGTGATAAAAAATAGCTCATAACAAACAAACAAATTAATTTGATGAACATTATGCTGAATTGATCATCTTCACAATTCAGTGGTGGCTATTTGCTTATAAATTTTCATCCATAATATTTGACAAAATAATAATAAATTCAGAATTTTGTTTCACTTATCTGTATTTGATTTTCATACAATTAAATACATTTCAAAAGTCATTCTTGTTTGATATTTCCACTTAGATATCTGCCAGCTGTATTACATAATTCCACTGCTACACAATCTGTAAACATATAAAATAAATAAATATATGAAAGCATTGTAGGAATATGCTATAGACAACTTTCAATTCATAATACATTAATCTATAAGAAAATGTTACACCTTAATATAGAGAAATATGACCATACAGTGTAGTTTTAAAGGTATATTGCATTAATTGCAATCAAACATCAAAAGAACAAAATTGATGAAATTATTTAAAGAAGCTCCAGCATTATAGACATATATGTACTGACTTTATGAAGTCATTAATACTATGATATTTGCAGGGATGAATACTTTTGATAATTAAAAACTGAAACTATATTTTGATAGAATTAAATGAAGAAAATAAAATTACCAGTAATATTTCTTCCATTGTATTTTTTTGTTCTGCAACTACACCATTTTATTCTGCTTCATCCTCTTGTCACATGTTACTGAAATATTTGGCTTCAACCTAAATTTTGGATGTAGAAAAAAAAACAAATATGCAATCATGTTATAATTTATAATTCATTTTAAGACTTCAGTGTTTTTTTTTCTAGAATGGAATGATCAAAATGTATAGTTTATTTTAGAAAAATTAAGAATGATTTCTATTTTCCCTCCATATTTTAGGTTCCTGGAAATTTATTTAAAATCTTTTCAGAATACTGGGCTTACAAAATTCATTATTATATGAAATATTAAAAATATCAAGAACTACATGTAATTTAATTATAACTTACCATTTATCTATCACAATTGGCTGCTAATTTCCCTCCATTTTTTTTTTCAAAATGAATAAAGAAGTTTAACACTATTATGCTCCATGTCATATATATGTTTAAGTTTCACAATAAATTTTCCAAGAAAGTTCTGTATCTCTAGGGAAGTTGAATTCTTAAATCTCATTATCTATATAATTATCAAAACTCATTTATATATTAATATATAAGTGTAAGATGATTTATTTGAATCAAATTCACAACTTAAGCCTCTAATCTTTCTAAAGAAAATGACCATGCTGGAAACAATTTTCAGGGTGTGATATTTACTCTGGATTTTAAACTGCTGTCGGTAAATCTGTGCTAACTTCTCTATTTTCATCTGCCAGATAGCCCAGTTTAACATAAAGTATTTTGAAATACTGTATAAAGTTCCACTTGAAGGTTATTTGTTTATAACAACAACAACAACAACAAATACTTTTATTTTTGAGTCACGTTACATAGAACAGTATGACTAAATACAATGGTATAAATGTGGGTTCTTATTTTTTTTAATTGAAAATATCAAAATCAAGCGTTTAATTGTTAAACAACATGGGGACAGCTATTCTCTCACCACTAGAATACATAACTTATTGTTGCATATATCAACACAGGTCATTATATAATACTTTTTCCTTAATCATATGTAAATAAGGTACATGATATAACCTACTCTTTTAAATAAGTAGAAAATTCTTTGTAAAAAACACACGAAAAAACAAACAAAAAACACACACAAAAAAACAAACAAACAAAAACAATGGTGACCGGTATTTAGTATAACAGACAGAAGGAGAAAAACAAAAATAAAAAAAAATAGCGTTAAAATAAACATAGATAGCGCTCGAACAATTACTGTCTGCCTACGACCGTCTGCACGAGTTTCCCGTGTCATAGTAAAATATTATGAATGAGTATTGAAATCTCGCGAGATCTGGAAAACTACAAATGTAGTATATTGCACGATTTCAATTGTTTGGAATGTGGGACAAGGTCATTAGAAATTCGCTAAATATGTATCGGTCAGTACAGGCAGTGGAATGTGTGTTATTAATGGTTAATGTTAAAAATACGATGCAATTCTAGAGGATAACAATACTGTGGTAAGTAAAATGTTCCTAACATGTTTATACTTTAAAGTGCCTTATAATATCACGAACAAATAACGATAATTTTTTAAGGGTTTGCAAGCGACCACTTGTGAATAATTCCCTAAATTTTAATATATTTGGTTGTCTGTAGAAGTAACTTGATAAATAACGTTTTCTATTCAAAATAAAAAATGGACATGTAAATAAATAGTGAAACTCGTCGCCTATTTCATTCAAACTGCATAAATTACACTTCCTATCTTCATAAGGGAGAAATGAATTACGCCACCTTCCCGTTTCAACGGGAAGCCTGTGATTACCAGTTCTAAAATGGAAAAGTGAACAACGCAAATTGTCAGGCAGTATGTTTAAATATGGTTCAAATATTATATCATTTTTAAATATTCTATATTTTGTACCCTTAGATGAATTAGCTAGTTGTCCATTCCATTTTTGAATGAATTGGTCGATTAATATTCTCTTAATGTTTTTACCAATATTTTTGACATTTGTTGACTTTTGATATATCCAAATATGTGTATTTCCGGTTTCGTTTAAAATATTTCTAATACAATCTAACCATTTATAGCAAACTGTAGAATGAAGCATATTTTCATAACATATTCTTGAAATTTTTGTTGTACTACCCGATAATAATTTAGACCAAAAATTTATCATTCTTGTTTTAACAATAATTTCCAGTGGATATCGACCTAATTCTCCGTACAACATATAAAGTGGCGTGCTTTTTCTGCTTTTTGTAATTTTTCTTAAGAAATCATTATGTATTTTTTCGAGCATATCTAAGTTTTCAAATCCCCAAATTTCGCAATTATACGTAAGGATCG